ACAGTCGTGTTTTCAATCCATTAGCACTTTAAAAAACAATCCTAATGTCACCCGCTTTTTTTTATTACAGGTATTTTAACTTTGTTTTCGAGGTTTGCAAGTCTCTTTTCAATTTTTTCTTAATTGATTAGTATTTGTTGCAATATTTCTTCAACGGAGAGTTTTAGTGTTTGGGTTACCTATTGTTTGTAAATTGTTATTTTTTTTTTGGAATAAATTGTCCTTTGTTTTGCATAATTATTTGCACAAAAGTTAATTTTTCTTTTTGAACATATTGCTGATTAGATGTTTATCCAAGAGGAGTATTTTTCTGCTTAGAAGAGGTAGTTTTCTCAATGCCTACTTCAACTTATGCCAAAACAACTATATCTTTCTGTTTTTTTTTATTCTTAATTTTTGTAGCTTTTAGCAAGTTATTTCTAACAAGCTGTGCTTTTCTAACTACAGAACAACTTCGATAATTGGCAACATGACCATCCTGTTTACAGTTTGCATACCTTGGTGTGATGTTCCTACTGTTGGGAAACTTTCTAGAAGCATGATTTCCAAAATATTTGACGCAGATGTATTTACCGTGACAATAATTTTTAGTGTGTCCAAAATCTTGACATCTCTTATATTGCTTAACAGTTTCTGGTTTAGTATGTGGTTCTTTTACTTTTATTTTGGTATAAAGAATGTTTAGTGTCAAATTTTTTTTATATCTTCTTCTTTTTCAAATATCAGCATATGTAATGGTGCTTTAATCTTAATTTTCTCTCCTTTGTTTTTAGAGTCATCTTTTTTAACTTGTATGTCGGAGACTTCTATAATCTTGTAACAACTCTTTCAGCAAGGACTGTTTTTATATCCACAACGCTGATCGATCCATCAAGGTCACGCATTACCACTTTGATCGGTCCATCTCTTTTATTTTGATAATTGAACTATTCTATTCCTTTCCTTTGAAGAATGTCTGGTAACATTTTAAAGTCCTTCTCGTTGTAGAAGCTTATTTTATATTTCCCTTCACTACCTTTTACAATTATTGGAGAAGGTTATTTACTCAGTTTTTTAATTATTTCCGTTATTATTTTATAATTTCTTACGTTGATTGGATTAAAAGGCGGGAATTTGATAACTTTCTTTTTCTCGTCTCTTTAAAATTGATAGAGTAAGAAATAATATAGAAGCAATAAGGCAAGTAAAAGAAAACTCTGTTCATTTTATGCTTCCTGAGGTGAAGATGAGGTTTTTTTATATACTTTGCATTTCATTTTGTCTCATTTGTGCAGAATTAAATTCCGAGGAGTTCGTCAAATAAACCTTTTCTGCATCATCGATTACCTTTCTGATTTATTGTAAATTCTGATCCCTGCTTCTTTTTATTTATTTCTTCTTTAAAACTAGTAATAATTTGGTAGGCTTTACGTAGTTTTTCTTGTAACTCTTTCACAGTCCAATCCCTCCCAGCTATTTCTGCTATCAGGTCATCAGCCAGGGGGAGCGTCAGGTCACCATTTTGGGCTGCGTTCAGATTCCCCACTCGGGTATATTCTATTACTAGAAGTGCTATAGGATATGTGACATATACTATAATGTTTCTAGTAATAGAGTGCACCCGGATGAGGAATCTGAACGTACCCTTGAATGAATGTATTTGTTTTCACAATATAGTAATATGGTTTGGTGTATTCTAACTATTCTGTAACTGGAACATGCTGCCTCTTGGTCCACTAGTTCGACAAACAGATACAGATACAGATTCTTTCTTTTATGCTCTTATGTAGAATGGCATTTTCTCTTTTTCAATTTCGGTTCTTATACTATTTGGGCATTCCACTGCAACTCCATTGGAGCAACTCGTTACATTTAGAGTGCTTTCATTAAAATACAATGGTAACGCTCTCCACAAAACGCATGAGGCTGCCTCGAAAGGGGGTAGATTTTCCGAGTTGTTGGGGTGTTACCTGAGATAGTATCTGTAAATGTTTTATCCACTAGTTATCCTGACAGGCCGATGTTTTCTGTCAGGGTTATCTTCTTTACCTAGATTTCATTTTTCCATGGCTCTTGCCTTTATCACTCATCTATCTATTGTGACCGAAATTATATTGCCCAGGGTTTGCGACAGGAACGCAAGATGATCGGACTTGCTAGTTACTTGATGACATACAGGGCAGCATTTCACCACATTTTATAAATACGCATGTCCCAGCAAGATACACATCACCGCGACTTTACCAGCCATTTGAACTCCATTACTCGTAATTACTAAAGTAATTACAACAGTAGTGATTAATCACTTCTCAGTGGTACAATGATTATTTAGAGAATTATGGTACATTTTCTATTAAATTTCTACCAATTGACCTATCAGAATGGAACGATCCAATGCTTAATTATTTTGTTTAAATAATAAAAATTTTAATATTTTATATTTTGCGTCGTTACGTGATTTCGACCTTATAGCGGTCACCCATTTCATTCTCATATCGCGTTATCCGCTGCTTCATCTGAATAATCAAACTGAAACTAATGGTGCCAATGAGTTGTGATAATACTTTATTGAGTTATGATTAAAATATGCTCTTGTATCATTCAGACAACATTTAATAGCATATTTATTGACAAATGATATAAACGACGTAACGACAATTGAAATGCGACTAATATTGTTATGATGTACGTCCACGAACTCCATTAACGATATGATTGCTCTTAGATTTTCAATGAAACATTACAATTAACTGAAACATACAACAAATTTGAAAAATACAGTACTCTTATAGAAATATCATACTAAGAATCATTGATAATTACTTATTATCCAGTATTTTTAATACTGAAAATAAGTAATTATCAATGATTCTTAGTATGATATTTCTATAAGGGTATATGAAACAATTTATATTAATCATGAGAAAATTGATACTTATCTATCTCGTTATTAGAGAATAATTCACACTAGTGTTTCATCAGAAAAACCTAATATATTAGTGATTATCACTGTTGCCATAATCACTGAATTACTCTGTAGCATTGTAACAGTCAAACTCCGCGGGTTGGGTGTTATATGTGCCGATAGATTATTCGCTCGCCGGAGTCCGGGTTCGATAAATAAATGACACAAGACGCGGTTTGTAATAAATAAAAATAACAAAAATGTTTATTAGTCCTTTATACAGATTGGTCGCGTTCGAGTGCGGAAATATCCTGGCAGACGGCGCCAGTTACCGGATCGCGGTTTCGTTGTGCCGCGACAGTTAAAACGGTAGGCGGAACGTATAGCGCTAAGGCTAGGCTCGCCTCGTAGATTAGGCAAGCGGTCGCGTGTCGCGATTCGCGCGCGAATCGTGTGGTCGGTTGCGGGGACCGCAAGGTGTCGACGGTATCGAGTCCGTGTCACAGCACGGCACGCTGTTTTCGCGTTCGCGGTGGAGACGCGCTTGCTAGCACGCCTGTTTCGCAGGCGATGAAATCGGGGGTGAGTAGCCAATGTATCGGCGTATTCACTCCCGGTCTCGTTCGTCGAGAGGCTAGGAACAAGGGTCGAGAAAGCTCGACAGAGCACAGCTAACGTACTGGCTTCGGTCCTTGTTCGTGGAGTCGACGGGATGCAAGCAAGAGTCGATAAAGATCGACAGAGCGCAGCTAATGTACTAGCTTCGGTCCTTGCTCGCGAGGATGTGACACTAGGTAAGTTAGGATGGCAGAAATGAGTCGGTAGTAGCCCTTGCTCTCCGCTGTACAGCATCGAGTTCGGTAAACGGTCCGGATCAGTCTGGTCCCGATTAATTCGGCGCCGCGGATTATATACTCGACGTCGCTTTGTCTTAGCTCGCTGTACACGTGTTCGCTGCGTATCAACGGCGCGCGCTCTCGATAGATTCTTTCGTGTAATCGATGTCGCGAGGTCGTATGTCGCGCGACTGTTTTGTTTACGCGCCTTAGTTTCATAGGCCTTGCGGCGTTTGAGGTGGCGCAACGCACCGGTGCACGGCCCGATTGATGGTCGGTCGGGCCGGTGTAGTGATGATGCAGGTGTGCATCGTCACAGCATTAATAACGCTGTAATTTAAGTATTCAAAATCATTTGCCACTTGTAATAAAACTACTGAGCAATAGTAATGTATTACTAACCAATCAGGAATACTTTTTTATAAGGGTTGGCCTTGAGTGGCGTCGTTAAGGTCACACACACAGAGCAAAATCATTTAAATTTTTTTTAATGGAACTTCTAATATTTTATTATATATATGTAGTCCTTCATACACACACACACACACACACACGAGGTTTGATAAAAAAATACGCGAAATTTTCGTTTTTCTCAAAAAATCTTTATTTATTCATTGATATTAATCTTGCCCCCTTCATTTTGTCCCATCAGATATAATACATTTGTGTCAGCGCTTTTTCCAATTTTCGAAGCACTTCTGGAACGCAATTTTTGATATGACGTTTAGCTCCTTCAGCGATTCTGTCTTTATCTCTTCAATGTTGGCAAAACGTCATTCTTTCATAGTTCTTTTCAGCTTCGGAATAGAAAGAAGTCACAGGGGGCCATGTCCGGCAAATACGGAGGTTGAAGCATCATAACGATGGGGAGCGGTTCACTTGGACACGGTGCATTTGGACACAGCCAATCACAGCACCGTGTGATTAGAGACATTTGTAGGGTCCCTTGGAACAGCGACTTGTGATTGGACTGTGTCCAATTGCCCTGTGTCCAACTGATATACACCCATAACGATATTGTTTTTGGCCAAAAATTCATAAAAAATTTCAACAATTTCGGAATAAATTTGGCCAAAAATTCACGAACAAAATTCAACAATTTCGGAATAAATTTGGCCAAAAATTTACGAACAAAATTCAACAATTTCGGAATAAATTTTGCTGCCACACGTTTCATGCCCAAAACATCCAAAAAATTGCTTGACATGAGCTAAATGATATGCCAACATCATCAGCAACCTCTCGGATAGTGATTCGGCGATTATCCATAATAATTTTCTTCACTTTTTCGACGTTGTCATCGGTTGTTGATGTGCTGAGGCGTCCAGAGCGCTTGTCATCTTCAACGTCTTCACGGCCTCCTTGGAAACATTTGTATCATTTGTAAATGCTTGTTTTATTCATAGAAGAGTCGCTAAAAGCAACATTCAACATTTCTAATGCAGTAGCTGCACTTTATTCCATTGTTAAAGCAAAATTTAATGCAAATTCTTTGTTTCGTTTTTTCTAAAAGTTAAAAATCGCCGAGCATACCAAAACACGTGTAACCTTTTCGACAGCCAACAATAAAGTAAGCATCCAATATGGCTACCAATGTCAAGATACGTCAGATACAAGTGTACCAATTCAACAAAAAAATGGTGACAATTGGACTTATACAGCCCGCGAAATTTTAAAATACCGCGTATTTTTTGATCAAACATCGTACGTTGTCACATACCCGCGAGGTTCCACGACACACACGACGGGAGCGGCTCCGCCGTGTTGGGTTTCAGTGATCGAACTTCGAGGTCTTGCAAGAGCTTGCTCTTAAAAGGTATTTTGCACTGGATCGACGGGACAGGTTAGGGAATGGGAGAGGATGAACGAAAAATTACAAAATAAAATAGAAGAGAAAAGGAATATAGATGAGGTTTATTGATGGGGGAGCTCGTGATGTACAATTTGAACGTTCTTCGAGAATGGCAATATCTCGATTGTGTTGTCGAGGTGGTACGCGCTCTTAACTAAACACTGACAAGGAGATGCCACAACCTGCTAAATCGATTTCTGAACGAGTGATAGCATGTTCGCTAGCTGTGATGTTGATCAATATCCTAATGAGGTTTGTGCTTTTGTTTGTGAGAAATTACGTAAGAATTAATTAGTATAAAGTTTGGATCATGGGACTATATCACACATATGGCTAAAGTTGCGGCTATCTTTCAGGAAGGCGGCGTGGGTGAGCAGACTGAGGCTCTCACGTCGAACATTTTTGAGCCGGCAGCGAGCGTTCGAATTCCGACAACAAGTTGTCTGTGTGCGATATTTTCTTTTTTCTTATCTTAGGGCATGTAATTAATATTTTTTTAATATAATACATTTGTTTTGCATATGTCTTTCATTTTTATGTTATTAACCAGGAGTAATTAGGGACCCCCCGGGATGGGGAGAGGTGCCGAAGAAGAAGGAGAAGAGCGCCTCTTCCACCCGCGCACACGCGCGGAATAGAGGGACGGCGCACCCGTGAGCGGGAAGGGGACGTCACCGCTGGCGTTCCCTCCCCCAGGGTACTTGCGAGTATGCCGCCCTCCCCTCCCATACGGCCGGGCTCTTCCAGCGGCAATCGCCGGAGGACCCGGCGGGGGGGAGGGAGAGATAATAGAAGGCGCTTGGTTGAGGAAAGGAAACGCGCCATACATATGAGGCGCGAACCCTCCCCCCCATAATTTGCATTGCTTACAATTAAATATATTTTAGTACATAAAATTTTAAGTACATTAAATATATTTTTAGTACATTAGTATATTTTTAGTACATAGAAAGTATTATTAGTACTCATGATAAATAGTGAGAAAGTGATTGTATGTGCATCGCATTACCTCAAATGTCCAAATGTATACTTTTATCGCTTGTAAATAAATCAGGATAGTTGTACATTCTCGTTATCATACTTTTAATCTGCCTATAAAAAACATTGCATGGCAAGTAAATTGCTGTATATTTCAGCGATATTATTTGCAACTTATATGTTGACTTATATTTTGCAAGCATTTGTGTATGGTTTATTGTTGTTTCTCATCTAATTATCCCTGTTTAATAGCTTGATTAATAGATTGAATAAAAATGAGAAACATGCAAAACAAATGTATTATATTCGAAAAACAAATTATATGCTCTAAGGTAAGAAAAAAAAACACGGACAACTCGTCGCCGGAATTCGAACGCTCCCTGCCGACTCACAAATGTTCGACGTGTGAGCTTCAGTCTGCTCAGCCACGTGGCCTTGCTAAAAAATAGTTGCAACTTTAGCAACATGTATAATATAATACAGTCCCGCGATCCAAACTCTATATTGTAATTTTTTACAAACAAAGGCCCATTGGCACAAATCCCTTTAGGATATTGATACTCAACATTGCAGCCAGCAAACGTGCTATGACTCGTTCAGAAATCGATTTAGCAGGTTGTGGCATCTCCTTGTGAGTAAAATAGATGTGGAGCGACTTACTTTTACGGCGACCAGTGAACTGATTACGATACCCGGCATCTTGCGAGAACAGGGGAAGCACCCTAAGTATCTCCCTTTGATTGGAGCGGCTGCCTGAAGGGGTGCCGGTCTCGATCTAATCTCGGGATGATTTTGAATGGTATTTTGAGTAATATTAATTCACACACACTGGGTTGGGATCACCGCTGTAGAATATTCACTCACGACAGAGCACGGATAAGATCGCGTATGAACGAACAAGAGATTATTCTGATATAAAGGGTGCAGCTAGACGTCGAAACAATTGAATGGAGTAACACCGAAGATTGAAAGAAAAAAAAAACGATGACGGAGTTCAACCGTATTTGTAGGGTGTATATCAGTTGGACACGGGGCAATTGGACACAGTCCAATCACAAGTCGCTGTTCCAAGGGACCCTACAAATGTTTCTAATCACACGGTGCTGTGATTGGCTGTGTCCAAATGCACCGTCTCCAAGTGCACCGCTCCCTATTTGTAAGCTACCGGGATAAGACTTAGAAGGATTTTCGATGACAACTGTCTCTCGCGAATGCTGGAAGATGACTGCCTGCGGATTAGAAATCCGCGGTCACCGGTTCTTCTCTGTACTTCTCACAAGGTGCTGATCAGCGTTTTTTCAGTGAGAACGCTGACGAGTCTATCGTGATTGGTGTTCTCCCGTTTTCGGTATCTAGTGAGAGACGGATTATGTACATCCGTTCCCAAGGGACTAAAACGCAAAGCTCAGCAGCAAATGGTGTTACAAAATGTGCAATACATTAAAAAGTTGGAAAGTCGCTGGGCTCCGCATTCGCACGGTGATAAGACATAGACATTAAATTTGACTTTGAAAATCTGATAATAATCTGAATAATCTGAATAATCTGATAATAATCTTATACTTGGGATGCTTAAAATTTTCAATTTCCTATTTCGCGCATGACCAATAATTGATAGTGTAATCACGACGGAATAAGGCGGAATAGAGGAGGAGGGGAGGGGGAGAGGACAAGGAAGAAAAAGAACACTATAAGAAAAGGAAATGAAAGAGAAAAGAGCAAATTGAGAGGGAAAGGAAAGGAGAAAGGAGGAAGATAATGCGAAAAATATGAACCGAAGTCCTCGGGACGTAACAATATATACATTTATGGGGCATTCTCTTTGGACGGGAGACGCCATGCTCCCCAAAATTTATTTGATCCTAAAAAATCGGGCGACGGTGCAAATGAAAGCTTAGAATCTCTATTTTTTATTACCGAGTGGCAGGTTTTCGAAATTCAGGAAATCTAACCTCTATGGCTGTAACAGCACGAAGACGTCATAACGAGCCAGCAGTTTTCGAGTTTAATATTCGTATAGGTGGTTAAGAAATTAGAAACCAAGCTTTTTTTATGTATTTTAACCTTCTGAACATGAATCTCAACTCATTTCTGGTTCATTACTTAAGCGTTTCTACATAACCTCAAAAAACACCCCGAAACAGCAGATTTACGTGATTTTCAATCGCAGATGTGATAAAAAAATTTACTAAGAACTAAATTTAATAGGAACAAAGCCTATTCTCATGTATTTTGTTCCGCTGAACACGAATCTGTACTCATTTCTGGTTCATCACTAAAGTATTTTACCTAACCTCAAAAAACACTCCAAAACAGCAGTTTTACGTGGATTCCAATGGCTGACGTGGTGAGAAAATTAGAAACAAAATCTATTCTCATGCATTTTGTTTTGCTGAGCACAAATCTGAATTCAATTTTGCGTCATCACTCAAGCGTCCCTACTGTTACGGATGAGTAAAAGGAGTGACCAGGCGGGGATCGAACCCGCATTCTGTGGATCCATATGCGCGTGCTCAACTACTGAGCCACGCAGCACTCCGCTCATCTTAACTTCTTATCGTCAACATAAGTCACACATAGGATATGTAACATTATCTAACCTCAAAAAACACCCCGAAGCGGCATTTCGCGTGGTTTCCAATCGCAGAGGTAATAATAGAATTAGGACAAAGTTCATTTGAGATAAAAATGTTAAATACATTTCCTATTCTATTTTGTCTTATAAACAAGTTTTGTACAATTCGTAGGGTCAGAGTAACTTCCGATAAGTAACTGATGTTTTTTATTTACTTTCAAGCTGTAACTCCTTAGTATAAGTAGAACCGCTGGAGCCTTGTTAATTCTTCAAAGGAACTTGAAATTTACCAATAGTTTCAAAAGATTCATATTAACAAACTTTTCTTTCACTTCAGTGAAATACTTTCATTACATCTCGGAATTTCAAGAGAAAAACGTATACTCTCTGTAGAACTCAATTCTTTCCAAAATTATTTTTACGGCAAATATTTCAAAATTATTTTTAGAACTAGCGTTAGAACTAGCGTTTTTTCCAAGCGTTATCTCAGGACATTTATTTCAAAACTTTTCAGAGCTAATACTCACAAACAGTTCTTTTCATAGCTAATACTCACAAACAGTTCTTTTCAGAGCTAAAACTCACAAACAGTTCCTTTCAGAACTAACACTCACAAACAGTTCTTTTTAGAGCTAATACTCACAAACAGTTGTTTTCAGAGCTGAAACTCACAAATAGTTCTTTTCAGAACTATTCCCGAAAAACAGTTCTTTTGAGAACTAATAACCGCAAGCAGTTCTTTTAAGAACGAAATATTTTTTTCCAATAATCATCCAATCTTAGCTTTATTTCCAATATGTCCCGAGCAGACATGTTGCATGGTGATAGATGCTGCAACCCCTATAATTATTTAGGCGTAGATGGTCACAAGGGGAAAGATTTGAGGTATCTCTCTAAACCTCTGAAACGAAAGTTTCCTTCTTTTCCTCCAAGTGCTAAAATTTGTTGGGAATACA